TCTGTTGTTATGTACTTTGGGTAAACTGAGATTTTCTATATGGTGATATTAATCCTTTTTAAGCACTAGCATGCGTTGCCATTTCTGAACAAATGGCATGTGTATCGTCTTCACTGCCATTTTCTAAACAGATTAAGCGCTTTTATCCTTGGCTCTCAGCCCAAGTTTCAACGGGTAATCTTCATTATCCGGTGGATTCATCTTTCTGTGAATGGCTATCATGTTTTTCCGTTGAATCCAAAATTTTGCAAGTTTGTGTTTATTCTTTGTAATGACGTGTAAAATATGTAAGCCTATATATGCCATCACAAGTATTTTTCAGGAAGGCAACATCTCTCAGCCCAAGTTTCAATGGGTTGGCAGTGATGAGTATGAAGTTATGGTTCTAAGCCTATAAAGCGGAGATTATGTATGCCATTCTAAGCAAATTACATATTTAAATCTTCGGCTCTCAAGTGCTAGCCTGAGTTTGAATGGGCTGCAAGTTGAGACTAATTTACTTGCAGTTAGAGGCCCCCATGCTTTACCAAAAATGACTGCGAAGTCATGCTGGAAATTGAAAGGGCCTTGCTATCTTCGACATAAGAGAAGGTAGAAAACTGGATTTCTGACGAGCTTGCAAGGAATTTAAGCAGCTACCAGCATTATTGGTGAATAATTTTAAACAAGGGTGGGGAAAACCATGCTATGTTTCAATTTCCCAGTTCAAAGTGGAATCCCAGGTTACTACATTTTGACAATTGACTGCCAGGTTACTACAACTACAAGTAAAGACACAACCAGAAAATACATAAAAGAAAAACAAGATTGATTTACAATACAACAAGCAACAGCCTTCGACACTCAAACATCTACTGCTTTCCATCTTCGATGGCTTTATCATCTACACCTACTTTCACTTTATCATACTCAAATTCTTTAGGCTGCTCGGCATAACCCTCTGGCACCACCGGACGCCGATTACCGAAGACGGTCCACAAATACAATGCAAGGAGTGATGCCAATGCTCCACACGCAACACCAAAAACCATTGCACCAAAAACCCTTTTTACACAATCCTTTTTGGTTTCACCTCTCACCGGTTTCGAATTCTTAGCAAAGACTTTGGGATCTAGTGGCTGTGAATGCATCCAGTGCGGCACATGCCTTTGCTCAAAGCTCCAAGAAGTTATCAAACATGTCTGAGACGAATTCCTGTTCATTGCACTTAAGCCCACAAACACTTTCTCATGCTCCCACAGTTTTGACAAGTCAATTGGGTACCATAGCAGAGGATCAGCTGGCCTTGGATGACCAAATTGACTCAGCCTAACTTCTAATCTATTCGAACCAGCTTCATAATCGATCCAAGCATGCGTTTTATTCCCACTAGTTAGATTCAAATTCTTACTTGAAGAAGTGCTTACTTTAGCTGATACAGAACTACCCACATCAATTCCAACATGAACCTTGTCATCCCTTAATGCATTAAATTTAACTGCAACAACTTTAAATTTACCTTTCCCATATCCTAGAGAAAGCCCAAAAGAGCTATTAGCAAACATGCTAAGATTGAAACCACTTGGAACCATAACAAAGGCCAAACCATCCCCATTGCCAGTGGACACAGAAAATGAGAAGTTTGTGGAGAAAGATACTGATTTCTGAGGTTTACCTTCACTGAGCTTGATGGGTTTCTTGTACATGGCTCTCCCAGCACTTGATCTCACTGAACTAGTGAGTTGAACTGCATACCCACCATTAACAACCTCTGCATCACCGTAAAGAGCAATATTGGACTCAAATTTTGGACCTTTACCAAATTCAGTGAATGAAAACGAGGAGTTTGAGTCTGCAGCTGAGGGTTGCAGGAAGAAAATTAGCAAAACAAAGGCAGCTAAGTGTTTGGAAAAGGGTAATGAGGCCATGGCTGAAATGGGATTGAGCTGAATCTGGGAATGGTTTAACTAGTGGGTTTCTAGTGTTTGGGGAAGAGACCCATTTGCATCTAAAGGTGAATTGTTTCTAGGGTTTGAAAGTGGAAAGCAGAGGAAGAGAGTAAAGAATAAGGAGGGGGTTGGCTTGGAGGTTGTGAAAATTAAATACGCTTACTCGTTTCTGCAAGTTCTCTCAGACACTTTCTCTGAGTGGTTGCTGACTGGGGGAATATAATAAAGAACTTTTTGCATTTGTGCACTTATGCTTTTCTTAAATTTCCAGGTGCCCACTTTGCTTTGTGTATTCAACAATTTGCCATAACTTTTATTTGTAATGATGAACTTATAAAATGACTTTTTCTCTTTTGCCCCCTTATTTCCCTTGAATAATTTTTTGTCATATCCCTAAAAGAATCTTAAACATTCAATATGATGGAATATATAATTGCTCATTTTCAAGAGTCAAGATTATATGATAAAATAAGATGTTATATTTTCAAATTGTGAGTTTAAACTAATAATTTAGATTGATTTTAACTGAAAATGAAGCACAAAATATCTAGTAATATAAGTATTTGTTTGATAACATAAATTTAACCAGAGAACGCATTCGGTTATGCATCGACCCTAATCCATTAATCATCACCCGCCCTTACTCCCAATGCTTAAATAAGAACAAGGTAGGTGTGGCCTTGTAGGTGAAAGACCTTCAATGTCAATACCAATAAAGGAATCAACAAATACAAATAAGCAAAACACAGGTGGGGGTTGTAGAATATCTCTAAATTTTAGGGTTGGTGTTGCCAATTTACTTTATAAAAGAAAGAAATGAGCTTTAAAGTGACAGCTGTATGGACAGATTACAAAGCGGGAGTATTAGGGTTTTTAATATCTTCGCACTAGTTGTCTTTTTCAAATTTTTGCTTTTGTTTTTTGTCATGGAAAAGGCTTTGGTTGTGGGAGGTGGGCGAGGAACAGGGGACCATATCTAACTGCAGCAATTGTGTGATAAAAACACCAAACAGAAGAGAAGAGAGGAGAAGGTGTGCTGTGGTGCTGTGTTGTGTTGTGCAATGTGCATCGTGACCACTTTAGTAAACTCTTTTCAGTATAAACTAATGTGCGCGTGCTTTGTGTCGTCTTACTCTTCTTTCTTCTTGGACAAAGCAAAAGTATGGCTTTCCTTCACTGTAAATAAATTAATAATGCAGCATTATCTTTTAGCTCACTGGTTACTGTAAAACAAACTGTTGTGTTAATGAATCTTCTTCAATTTGTCCATTGCATCTCACATATGATATGATACGCGTATCTTTCAATACTGAAAGATATCTCAAGTTCGAATCTCTCGTTCTTACATGATTAGATATAAAAAATGAAAATCACCCTGTTGTATATAGATTCGAAGGGTGGAGCTAGTTAATGCAATCAGCATTTTCAAGTTTAACTTGTAGACTAGAGAACCAACCAACCTGTTCTTGCATTGAATATTGAATGGCATGGTTCGTGACATTGGTACTTGGGTCAGTATATTATTTTGGACAGCAGGGTTATTTATGTTGGTGAATTTCAATGGTCCTTTCTTTTATTTATTTATTTATATTCTCACGAGTTTGAGGTACAAGAAGGCAAACAATGCCTTGCGTGATTCAGAATCAAGAATTCACCTTTCTCATTACTAGGAAATGAAGAGGGGAATCTCTTCCTATCTGTATCGAATACGTATACGTGTCGTATTTAGAACCACATGTAGCAAGTAGCCATACAAGCATTAAAGCGAGACAACGGGGCGATTTGAATGAAACAGAAGAAAAGGACAGTTCATTAAATTTCAACTTCTTTGGTCCCCTTTCCATTGTCCAGCCTCAACCCCCGACAAAACGAAAAAGACTCAGCAGCCACCATGAATCCATGATCCGTTTGCTTGATCCAATTCAGTTAGTTATGAATAATGCTATTTGCACAACATATGGGACTTAGGTTGAGACGACTCTGACTAATAATACCAACTAGGAACTAGCTCTTAAATCTAGTGATACATCTCTTTCTAATATTGGGAAAGGTCCGAGGTCCAGCCGAAGTCATGTCTCATTGATTCAGAAAAAGAAAAGCCATTGAAAATTTGAGTAAACATTACTCAAATTAAGAATTGGATTAAGAAGTTGAGAAAATTATTTAATCACAGTAAATATATGCATATAGGACGTGTATAATCATACAACGCTCGAGTGCAAAAGCCAACATGACTTTTCTGTCCAATAGGTAACACTTTTATAGTATGTGCTGGCAGATTCAATTGCTTTGTGATTTAAGTTTTCACAAATCGAATGAGCAAGGACCACCATCTGAGGCTGGCAATTTTATCCCCATTAAATAATAGAGCAGCCCATTAAGATAATGATGAAGAAGGACCCCAAGATGATAATATACAATAGTGAAGCAGGAAAGTAAAGTTAGTGGAGTGACTTTGGACTGGGGAGTATAATTTACCATCTTAGAGGAAGAATTTTTTAGTCTGTAAATCTAGACAGGTTTGTTTTCATGAACTGGAGGAAAGATTTTTGGGCTAAAGAGACTTCCCTCACTCTCTTTCATCATGCGAAACCCTAATAATTGACACCCTTTTGTCCCTCATCCCTTACATGGAGCCCTAATTAAACTGTCCAGCTAGCCTTCCCGGCGAAGCCACGGTTAGTAGCATAGAAAAGGCTGCCTCTGGGATTGGCACCCCTCTAATGCTAAAACTGGTCCAGCTAGCCTTCCCGGCGAAGCCACGGTTAGAAGCATAGAAAAGGCTGCCTCTGGGATTGGCACCCCTCTAATGCTAAAACTGGTCCAGCTACCATCACTACCAATTACCATCTGTTCAAGTCACAACTTATATCATACTCCTTTTATTCCTTTTGTAGAAATGGTGAACAACCCCTTCTAATTTCTTTTTCCAATTCATCTGTGTGTACAAGCAGAAGTATTTTCATCCTGAATGCATATTTTTCATTGGCCATGATTGAGCTTTTGCTAGTATGGACAAATTTGAAAAATAATTCAATTTGAACAGATAGAAGAAGGCGCCTAAGCAGCAAGTACAAAACACGGCCAAAAGCACACTAATCTGATACGTCATATGAAACAATCACATTGCACCATGATTTTAAATAACGGAAGTTGGCAGTAAAGGGGAAAAGCATCTGGGCGGAGGTCAGAATGTGACCTCACTAGGAAGGACATACATTATCAGTAGGAATGCAATTTCTATGGCCTCAAATCAGGTAGCCAATCCCAATTAACATGGATTTACGACTTAATAAAAGTAATGGATGTCAAAAGTAATCACCTCTTTTCCCATGTACTGGTGCTTCGCACCATCAGCAACTTATAATGAGAACCTAACCAAATCAAAGATGTTGGCATGTAAACTTCAGATTACAAGCAAGATGCATTATAGGTTCATTTGATGACAAACAAGACAAAATTATGTTATTACTTTGAAGGCACTGCATTTTTCATATAGACGAAAGTAAGATATATCTAGAGAAGACAGGAAAATATATTGAAAAACTTACCATTTAATAATGATTACGAGGGATGAACATATTTACGTGGTCTCTGAAACAATTTCACTGACATCTAAATCTACTAAGCTTTCTTTCCCAAATAACGTAAATCCCACTGTTGCCTGCAAGATGACAATTGTTTTAACTTCTCTGTCAAGTTTCCAGAAGATAACTTTTTTCGAGCAATGTATTGAGATTTTTGAGTAAAATATTGCATAAGAAGACACTAGTAATTCTGCCATGCATATCTAAAAAATAAAAAGCATGCTTATTTCCTCATATTTTTCAAGCCAAATAATTCATACCAGAAACAGTATACCTTTTTTGTTCTGCGATTCAGCTTCTTGAGGCTGCCTACATATTCTGCAAAAGTCCCAGATACAACTCGTACACTAGAACCTGGGACGAGCTTCTCATTCTTTCCTTTAGATGAACCATTTATGAGAGGATCAAGTGTTTTTCTAGATCGCCTTTTTGGTTTAGAATCTCCAGTAGACTTTACAGCATCATCAGAATTGAGCCCATCGTTGAGGGCTGCTTCTTGCTGATCTTGTTCAAAAGCTTGTTCAGCTTTTTGTTGTTCTTCCTTTGCCTGTCTGAAGATAGCTTCCATGTCAAACTCAGAAACTGGCCTGGGTCTGGTGATCTGTCTTTTCCTGTGCATTTGAATATAACATTTAGATACTCACCGGAAAGTACACAACGTAGCCAGTAGTCTAGAAGGACATCTACTTAAGATGGCCTCGAGATTAGAAATCAACGGAGAAAATAATGGCTCTAAGGGAAGCCCAAAAATGCCAGTAAACCAGTAAACTTAACCCAAAATCTACCTTGTCTATTTTAGCTAAAACATGTGCAAATGTAGCTTCATATTGTCACACGAAATCCCTTACAAAAGGCTTTTCATTTTTTACCATTTGTTGGGCTATCTCTTCATATTAGGTAAGTGTGCAGTGATAACTTGACTCTAAAGCTTCGTACATTTGTCATACTACGACACCACCATATAATGAAACCAGACGATTTCAATCAGTGCTAGACTGTATAGGGTTTCTTCACATTACATTAATCCGGTATATATACTAAAATTAAACCTATTGCTGTTTCCCTTTTCTTTTTTTCTTTTTTTTCTCAATTTCACATAAGAATTTCCTACTACGTAACAATAACAATAGGCAATACACAGCAAACCTACCATTTAAGAATAAATACTCACGTATTTCCAACCAAAGCACCAACAAAGCCTCCAACTCCATCGCACTCTCTTATGAAGTCATGTATCTCTTTGTCCAAAACACACCTTATAAACACACACCCTGGGAACAGGGGTTTTGGTTTAACTGAGTAAGTACCATTTTTCAATTTTTTCCTCTCATGAATAGCTGGAGCATACACCTGAAAAGCAAACACTTAAGATTTTTACCTTGTTTAGTTTTGGTCTAAACATTGAATTGTATAATCTATACTCAAGAGTCTCAGATAGCAGGGCGTCAATTCAATATGTTCAGAATATTCGAAAAATCGCTAGGCAGTAGGCGGGCAGCAGGCAGGGGCCTAGCGCCTAGAGAAGTAATCGGGGCCTAGGCGGGCGCCTAGGCATTTCTTAAAAAAAAAAAAAAAAAAAATTGTATTATAAATTATAAATTTATACCAAAATCATGCAAAATAAAAAGATATATAAATTATAAAATACCATAATTGATATAAAACGTGGGGAAAAAACAGAAATGATTATCCAGATTATATGTCAATTTGGCAACATACCGCCCAGGCCGCCTAGGCGGGGCGCCTAGCCGCCTAGGCCGATTTTTGGAACAAACTGAAATTATCCAGATTATGTCAATTTGGCAACATACCCAGAAACCAAAACATTGAACTAAAGTATTAAACACCTTAAAATCAATGGAATGAAACAGACATTAATAAGTCAATTTGGCAACAAACCCAGAAATCAAAACACTGAATTAGTTTAATACCTTAAAATCAATGTGAGGGTAGTTCCTAGCAAGCAAGCGAGCGATGAGCTGAGCAGTCTCCTGGCCCTTGAGTCGAGAGACCTTAACGATCCACCATTGAGGGCCCTCACGAGCGAGGTTATTAATGTTGAGCTCTTCTTTCCAATTAGCGAACTTCTTCGTGGGCTTCTCCAGAAGCTTTTCCTCCACCTGTTCTTTCCAATTGGTACCAGCTTTGCTCTCTCTCCTCTCGTTCCTCAGCTGCCTTCTCTCTCTGGCAGTGAGGTGTTGTTGGGTACTGGTGGCGGGTTCTAGTGTGGCAGAGATTGAGAGTGGGAGTTGGGTGTGTTTGGTTGTGGGGATAGTGAAGGAAAGGGAGAGATATTGGTGGCAAGGACTCCATTGGAGAAGTCCCTGTGTCATCTTCAACTGCAATCAGGCGCTGTAACCGGAGAGATAAGGAGGTGTTATGTGCTCTCCGTCTTCCTTCGCATTATGACTTCTCTGGTGAGCCCAGATGTTGGTTTTGGGTCGTTATGGATTTTGTTTTTGGCGCTGAATCGAGAGCTCGATCCAATAAGCCCAACGAGCCCACTAGGCAATCAAAGTTCAAGTTCGAAGGCCCTTATGTCAACCAACTAGAACGAAGTATAAATAAGCAAGCAAGTTTGAGCTCCATTTGATTGTGTGATAAATTAAATGGTGTATTATTACATGATTTTAAAGGTAACCCGTGTTTCTCGAATATATATATATATATAACAACACGTGTTTCTGAATGATCTGTAATAGACAACTCAAATGACTCCAATTGATCCACCTTTAGCTTCCTATAGGTTTAAGAATTTTCAGTTAAGGAAATATAACATTTAGAAAACTGACTCTTATATAGATAGAACCATGAAAGAATTTCATTAATATTCAAGTATTAATCTCAATTAGTGAACAAATCCAAGCAATTATGGAATAGCTGGTTGATAACTAGGAAAACAATATAGCATATATTCAGGTGTGTGATCAAGTAAAGTGCAACGGTAATCGGTTATACTACTCATATACATTCGACCCTTTTAGGTGTTTTTATGAAAGTTTCATTTCTTTTAACCAAAAAAAGAAGAAAAAAAAAGCTCTTTATTCATACATTGAGTTTAAACCAAATACACTCTTCATTATTTGGTAAGGTATTCTACCTTCCAATACAACCTAGTTATTGGTGGATACCTACAATACAACCATACCATAATTGTTCCAAACGGCTAGTTGATTGCCAAAATAAAATTGTTATTATATCATAAATAGGGTTGAAAATACATGCACATGCTATTTCATTTAGCCTCGCTAATTTTCCAATTTCCTCCCAAAAGTTTCGAAAACTCCCGCGTTTTTTTTTTCTCTTCTTCATCTCCCTCTCTCTTTTTTCTAATCTCCCTCCCTTTTAAGCTCACCCATTTTATCCGTCCTCAGATCTGAACTCTCTTCTTCTTCTTCTTTGTCAGTTGCAACCTTTTTATCGAGACCTAATTTTCCAGAGACTCTTCTTTATCTCCCCCATTTTCAAGCAATGGGGAAGCAAACTAAAGCCAAGAAATCAGAGACTTTGGGGAAGGGAAAGGTCACCCCAGTCCAAATCGCGTTCATCGTGGATCGCTATCTCTGCGATAACAACTATTCGGAGACTCGCTCTGTTTTCAGAAACGAAGCTTCATATCTCATCGCCAAATCACCCATTCGAGAGGTACCCACTTGGTTTTTTGCCACACTTTGTTCAAAATCAGCCTGAAAGTTTTCATTTTTTTTTTCTGGTTTGGGATTTGTTTTTCATATTTTCGTTTATCTCTGTAGGCGCCGAAGAGCTTGCTGAGCTTGGCTGAGATTCTGAACGAGTACATATGCTTGAAGGAGCAGAAGGTGATTTTGGATCAGGAGAAGGTCCGGGTGGAGCAAGAGAAGACCCGGGTCCAAACTCTGTTGAAGGGTATGCAAGGCGTCATGAACACTTACAATGCCAGCGGAAACCCAGCCGCTATCTCCACAGGTCCAGCCGCAGCTCCCAAACCGATGCTTATGGCTCCTCACGTGAACCCATCCAATGGGTCTCCAGCAGGTACAATAACACATCCCATCTGCTTGTGTTGCTTGTGTTTGAGAAATTTCTTGAATGAATTGAGAACATGGAGACTTTGCATGTGGTTTTTGTGAGCTTAGATGCACCAATTTCAACTTCTAGGTGTTTCAATTTGTTTGCCTTAAAAAATTATTTAAACCCATTGTTGGTTGAACCATACAGTTTAGAAATTAACAAAAAGACAAGAATAATCACTCCATGAGCTATGAACTAAATGTTTGATGCCTTTCAATTAGGTTTTCCAATGTACCAAACACCAGTTGCTCATCATGTGTCCACACCTTCCAACACCAACATGGGGCCTGGAAATTTCTGCTCACCAATTACAATTGACCCACCTGCAACTAAGAGAAAGTGTTCTAGAGTTTCAGTGGATGCCCCAAGTGCTTCTAAGAGATCTTGCAGCAGATTACCCACTGGCAAGGTTCCAAACAAAGGTATATATAACTAAAGTATGTATGCTCTTCAAAGTTGTCATTCTCTGCATCTGATTTATGTCATTACGGTGTTTATTCTGATTGAATTTTAAAATGGGCAGGTGCAGAAACAGTTTCAGTATCAGCTAATGCACTCAATAATCAAGAATCTGCCCCGTCATCTTCAGCTGTTCAATCATTGCTGCCAAATTCGGTTCCGAATGGGTCCTTAGCTCATGGTTCCACTGTGGCTAAATGCTTGTTCAACCAGCCGTCTCCCTCCGTTCCGAACAATTCTTCTGGTCCTCGGACTCCTCCACGAGCAATTTCATCTCAAATCGATAAGTCTGTGTCTCCTTTTGAGATTTCTTCCACTGCTACCTGCAGTAATAACAATTCTCCTCCAGAGATCACCCCTAACTGCTGCACCATATTTTCATCAAAAAGAGTGACTCTGAGCCCAAACAAAGCTTGCTATACTGTGGAAACGAACGATTGCATTTCTTCATCACCTGCCAAGACAAGTAAGAGAGACCATGTAAAAGGAAGGCTCAATTTTGACTGTTCTGATGTGCCAATGAGCTTGGACCAACCAATTTCTGATGATATTTCAACATCTGAGTCTGAAAAGGAAGTTGACCTTTTTGACATTGATTTGCCTAACTTCGATGCCATTGGTGTGGATTTCTCCTTCACTGAAATGTTAGGTGAATTTGATCTTCATTGTGAAGAACTTGGTTATGCTAGTCAACCAAATGTTGGTGCTTCCATGGGGACTGTTTCAGGGTATTCTCTACCTTCCATATTTCCATGACATATATCTTTCCATTACCTTCGTCATTACTGTCACTTCAATTCAGTTTTCTTATCTTATCTTATATTCTTCAAAACTCACATAGGTCATCATATGATAATGAAACTGCGGATGGTAATGTGGGGGCTAATCAAGTTATGTCAGAATTCTCATCAACTGTGACAGAAGTACTATCAGAGAAGGGGATGAATGTGCAAGGTAATGAAACACATCCTCAGCAGTTATAAAGTTTCCGCCATGTTCATGCATTTCATATTTAATGAGTAAACTAGCGTTCTTGCAGGTTCTGATTCCCTGACTGCAGTGAAGTCTGTAACAAAACGTATTAGAATTATAAGCCCTGGTAATTCTACTGTCTTTCTTAACTCTCCTCTCATTTTAATTTAACAGTGTAGAGTTTCTAACTTGTGTGCTTTTGGAATTGCAGTGAAAAACCGCGGAAGCTCTCAGGTTTAGCAGAATTGTACTGCAAGGTTCTTACTGTTTTTGTGAAATGACTCTTCGGCTTGACTTGCTGCAAAAGATTTCTTACTATTTTAAGAAATCTATAACTCTTTTAGAATCTAGCATTAAGACAACTCTCACATTTCTTAGAAATATATATAATTTTGTGGTTAGTAACTTAGTATTCTATCTTTGGTATCCCCTTGTTGCAGTCCTGGGCTTACTTAGGCTAATGGCTACAGTTCTTTCTCCCTTCGCTGGATCTTGTAATCTTTGTATAGAATTGTCTATATTGACAAAGGCTGCTGTAAACAATTTATTATGGAAGTATTAATATCCTTTAATCCTATTATCATTCGTTAATCTTCTGTAATACTTATTTCAGCAAAATATAAATTCAATTCTCTCTTGTTCATTGTTTTTCTTGAGAAAAAATCCCATACAACTTTATCTTCACAAACAAAATTAAATCCCTTTGTTGTCACATTCTGATCAAGCTAAATACTTCTCCAATTTCTCCACCTCCTCCACGCTTCCAATGTAAAGCGGAACACGCTGATGGATCTGTCAGAAAAGAATAACAAGAAGGAAAAATTAAAGTCATTAAAATTACAAAGGGAGCTGCAGAAACTTACAGCAATTATACGATTTACACTCACCTCAGTTGGTTGGATGTCAAGTACTCTAGCACTGCCATCCGATCCCTTCCCACCGGCTTGTTCAACTATAAAGCTCATTGGTGCACACTCATACAACAGCCGCAGCTTCCCATTCTTGCTCTTCTTGTCCCTAGGGTACCCATAAATGCCGCCATAGAGCAGCGTCCGGTGGAAGTCCCCAACCAAGCTGCCAATGTACCTTGCAGAGTAGGGCTTGCCACTAGGACCCGGGTCCTTCAGGTCATCAATGTACTTCTTTAGCTTGTCATCCCAGAGCTGATAGTTGCCTTCATTGAATGAGTAAATCTTTCCTGCTTTTGGTATTTGAATGTTCTCTTGGGTCAAAACGAATTCCCCATACATGGGGTCCAAGGCAAATGCAAATACACCTTTCCCAATTGTAAGTACAAAGATTACAGAGCTGGAGTACATGCAGTAGCCAGCAGCAAGCAGGTTGCTTCCTGGCTGGCACACACTCACCACACATTTCTGCTCAGCACTGTCAAGCTACAATGCAAACATATACATAAGTGTTCCAATATTATTCTTCGTAGTTATATACAAACGAGATTCAGTGGGCGATATAAACAAATGAAATACTATCACATTAGCTGAGACTTAAAAGACGTTCGGTCGACTTACAGTTGAGTCTTCTTCAATGCTTGCAAAGCACTCGTCATTTGGGCTGTATATTCCAAAGATGGATCCAGTTGACACTGCAGCATCAATGTTGGATGATCCATCAAGTGGGTCAAACACCACAATGTAGTTGCCTGAGTAACTCTCTTCCACAGCCACCGGCACATCCTCTTCCTCTGATGCTATAATCCCTGTTCGTCCACTTGATCTTAGGCAATTGGAGAAAACCTGTATACCAAAAAAATTCAATCCCCTATTCTAACATATAGTTCTTAAAATTTAATTATCACATGAAAATCACCAATCCGTTGTAGTCTAGTTGGTCAGGATATTCGGCTCTCACCCGAAAGACCCGGGTTCAAGTCCCGGCAACGGAATTTCTTTTTTGTTATTATTATTTTTTGAATTTTGCCTAATTTAGCATTTAAATTGATTT